GCATGAAATGATGATTTGCATTTGGGAGGGTGATCAAAGCGAAGCTTATTAATATGCTGATTTGTTGGGAAAATTGACTGAATCTTTCAGATTGGATTGGTATGAATGTAATGAAGAATCTTTTTTGTGACTTCTTAGTTCAAAGGCAATCATTGAACTGATAAATTCTTTAATTGTATATTTTAATCTTTTAAAAAGCTTAAAAATATGAAATTAGTCGTTAAAAAATATGAATTTATTCAATTTAAAATTTTAACGTATTTTCAAAATTTGAAAAACACGTTTCGAATCATTTTTCTCGCTTCAAAATTTATTTTCCAAATTTCTCCTTTATTATGTCAAACTTAATGCTTCTTAAAGCTCTATCATAGAGAAAAAGATGGCAAGCAGTCAAAAGATTAATCTTCATAATCAAATAAAGCACATTTGACACAAAATTTCTAATATTTTCACCAAATTTATCAATCCTCAAAGTCAATTTCCAATAATTCATTAATCAACCGTCTACAGCACATCTTTTAAAGAGAAAACCACAACTTTCAGTCGGGAAGACGTTATTTTAGAAATTCACGGTCAATGCCACTTAATCACGAGTTTTAAAACAAAAAAAAAAGTATTATTGCAAAAGGAAGGAAGAGATAAGTATACTTAAATATTGAAAAGCAGGCAAACAATAAACTTTCATTTTAAGTAATCAATTTCTATGGTCTACATCGTGCGCGCACATCGCCAAAACAATTTTTCTTCATTATTTTGATTTTCCATTGCGTTTTTTGGAACACATGAATGTGTCTACATCCATACTCAATTATCTGAATACCAATTGTCATATGCCATTAAACTGCTTTTCAATTTGGCACACTAAAAAACGTCGTCATGATATCTCTTCTGTCTGTGGTGCTTTAATTTTATTTTCCTTCCTTTCCATTTCTATTAAACTTTTATGTTGCTATGTTTATTGTGCTAAGTTTAAAAGTTTCTGTCTCTTAATTGCCGTCATTATTTCTTATTATTTGTTAGAATTAATAGCCCGAAATGTACATCGTTAGATTATTGTGATATGTTTCATATTAGGTCAGTTTCGTTGCTTCTTGGGTGGTTTCTAAAAATACCCTACCAATTGAGTTATTTATTATGAATCCTCAAATGCATAAATGATTTGCAATAAATTCAGGTTCTCCCTAAAGAGCCACTCGACAAAAATATTGAATGAAGCTGCATAGAATTAGCACATCTAGATTCAAAATCCCAGACCTCGAGAAATCCAATATGCTATCATTTACAAACTACAAGCAGTTCCAATAAAATTGCATAGTGTCACTCGGGAAAAGTAAAATTGAAATTGCAAAAACAAGCAATTTAAAGCCATAAAGACAATCCCAAATGAAGATTAGAAATGAAAATAAAAACAAGCGAGAAATTGTGCCAGCCAAAGAGCACCAGCATGTATTTAGCATACAATAAGCGATGAAAGTAAGCGTGTTGACATTGTCACACGAAAGAAAAAATGACGACAGCACAAGAAACAACAGTAAAATCGCGCAAAGAAATTGAAATTTCTTCATTTGCTGTTTATAAAGAAATGTGAGAAGCACAAAAAACTGAACAAACATTTGCTTAATCTTTTTTCACTTTTATTCTCAGAATGTACCATTTCATATGTACATCCCAAAGCACACATAAAACTTAGTTCAAAAAGAAATAAGTGAAAAGACCTTTCTTTGGAAAGGAAAAAAGAATGAAAACTTGTAAGAATTTAATGCACAAGAGCACATGGAGCTAACAAGAGTCGAATTGAATGAGCATGAAATCTTTGCGATGTGGAAAACATGATTTTATGCCCATTTTATTATTCGAGCGAGTGAATAGTGCAAGTAAGGAAATTTCTTTTGTTTCTTGAGGTTGTGACAGAGTCTCAAGGAAGAGGTTGGTACTGTGATGTTGCGTTAATTAAGCGAAATTAGGTTCAGGCAGAATTATAGGCTCAAAAGTAAAGCTTTCGACTGTAAAAAGAAATAATCTGCTATTGCAGGTGATCCGTTTGTTATAGATTCACAGATAAGCTCAGATTCTGAGCAAGATTTAACTTTTAATCAGTCTGTGACTGAGCTTTATCCTGTATCTCACGACTTGGTATCAGATTTGCTGCCTGCCTACAAAGACCTCTGATTGAAGACTCAAATTATCGTAGGCTGCTTTAAATCTCTACAATTACCCAAGCACAGCAACTGCTTAACAACACTAAACAAGACGAACCCCAAAATTCATATGTAAAACAAAAAGACTTAGCTCAAATCACATCCATACCTTCATACAATCCAAATTTTCCCCCTTCAATCAGAATCAATCCGAAATTAATTAATTAAAAAGTTATGATTCATAATTCAATTTCCAGCAAACATAACTACGTGCCTATCTGATCCGGAAAAAATGTAATTGACAGCCTCTTTACGTGACTATTTTACCTGTTTGTTCCCTTCTTTCTATTCTTTATTAATTTCGTATAATTTCTATTCTGTGTGAGGTCTTGAATTTTTTTTTTTTTGGGTGGAAATTCTGAAAAGCTGCTAGAAATGAAGACTTTTTCTTTCCAAGAAATTCCTTACTTATGAATTCATAAAATATTCTTCTTTTACAAATCTAAATTCATGAATTCACAGAATTTATGCCTCGTTAGAACATGTGCTGAAATCAAAAAAATGTTCACAGCATTTTATGATTTTCGGGTAGCAAGCAATTTTTTTTTATCTAAGCTTGTGTTTTAGACAGCTGTTGATTCTGTTATCGGTGCTTTCTGGGAATAAAGGGATACTTTTTAGAATGAAAATTATTTTGGGGATATTTAAAATAGGATATACTGGATATGAGACTACTGAAGCATTTATATCGGAAATAGAATATTAACGAACGTGATCTGGCTGTTCATGACTATCTCGTCTGGATGTCTGTTGGTCCCAAAGTGTTCTTGTCGCTATATCGAATCTGATTGTGGGCTAGCATTTTCAGGAGATGAAGTGTAACTTCAAGTTTTAGTCTTGATCTGCTGAACCTTAAAACCTGCTCAAAAAAACCTTTATTTACCATATTCAACTAATCAGTCATTTTTGTGGTTAGGCACCTGCTTCTACATATGCAATGACTAGGAGATCTTTAATGAGAATCGAACCCAAGTCTTCACAAAATGTTGAAATTAATTTAAAGACTCAGCCAAAGAACCCGTAATATTGCACTGACAGATTTGCTTACATTAACTGGATACCCATACTCCTACTCAGTTAAACCAAAACATATAAAATATTCTCTTCCTCTCAAAGTCAAAATGTAACTCAAAACTCATTATTACACGTAGAAAGCTGCACTTTAAGGCAAGAAGTAAGTGCAGTTTGGTGTGGAAAAAGATAAATATATATTTGAATAAATTCATTTTACAACCATCTTTGATTGCTCGTTTTTACTGTTGCTGTTACTATCGGTTTATTCGAACAAGTGAAAGCGTTCTTTTTTATAACGGAAGGTGTAGTTAAATACTTTTGCTGCCCGTTTACTTTTTTTCTTTATTTTCTATTTCGACTGACCAGTGATATAAAAAATAATAATAATAAGCTCATAGCAAGTCAGGCTGAGGAAGTACCACCCAGGACTGACTGATGAAGATAAATGTATCAATCGTTAGCTGATGAATACAGTCAGAACTGTACCAGACATTTCTTTTTATGAAAATGAAACAAACGGAATTAAAGTTAATGAAATGAGTAAAAGCAACATCATTATTATTGAGTATGTACATACAAAAATGTAGGTTACATAAACGCACATTAGGCTAACTTAAACTTAACCATTATTCTCATTCCGTTTTCGCTTGTAATGAATTGAGTTGCTAATTTATTGTTGTCTATTTAAAGAAGTCTTTACTCAATGAATGTAGAATTATATAGACACAACATCGTATTAAAGTTTTAATGAAAATTAGACGGTAATTCACTGCTATTCTCTTCTTTTCTCTTATTTCATCTTTATTTATAACCTTTCATGGTATGTTATTAGATGATTTAGACAATTTAGTTGATAATTAATGAGAATGTTGGAGATTCTTGTTTAAAATTGTTGGGAATTGATTGAATTTAGTATTTTAGATTCAACATTTGATTGAAAAAATAGATTTTTGAGTTAATCCATTCTGAAGATGATTAATAATCTGCAATTTTATGTGATGTTTAAGCTTTTGATATTTTCTGCATAAATCACATTTTGAAGTCCACATCTCATATGTGTTGATATGGCTCGAAGAGCATATCTGTAGTAGAAAGGCCTGAGCATAGGACTCGCGCTGAAACTGGTTATATGTGTATGACGGATATCCGAAGTGAGATTAGTACCTTGGTGGTCGATTAGCAAGGATCTTTGATCGAGTAGTCAGAGATCGCCTCTTTTGAGGTTTTGGGTTCGATTCCCATCAAACTCGATTTGTTTTACATTAGTATACACATCCAGCAGTTATAAGGAGATCAACATTATGATTACTTAATGTACTCTTATTATCAGCAAAAATGATGGACATTTTTCACATTTGATTGGATTTATCATTGTTAAAGCTTTATGATCCGACTGTTCGTATGTGTGTTGATGCAATTTAAAGTGGCAAATGTTATCAGTCGAGTAGTTAAATCATTGACACTTGAATGATTTTGAATCGAAAAGAACAAAGAATCAAGACATTAAATCTTATTGTGACAAAATCTCAAACACATAATCAAGGAAAGCCAGAAAGGATTTTTAACATTTACATTTTTTTAGTCTCAGATACATCATATGTTACATTCTATTATGGAAATTATGTAAGCATTTCATAGATCAGATTCTGGTTTATTCCATCTCAAAAAAGTTATCTTTCCACACATGCTCATAAAAATTTTATGAATAATTCATGGACCATAAATTTACTTTCCAATTTATCACAATATTTACATTATTCTTCTTCCTTTTCTCATTCATTTACGTAGATGGAAGGAAACTATTTGGCGGATATAAAATTACACCCAAATTCTGTACAGATGCGAAAATCTCAAAAGCCGATGCAAAAGTTTCGGGACCAGCCATATGTATGTTTAATCATGAATGTGTGGAGCGGAAAGGAAAAGTCATTGGCGCGTGTATGGATGGGTAAGTATTTACTTAATAAATAGTTTGATGGAATGTCAAAATCCGACAGAATGTGTATATCCAACTGAGTATCACGTACGCAGACCAATAACAAAAATTTATATGACTAATTTAGTGCCTTTCTCTATCCGCAAACAAAACAGTTTCCTCTTTGGTACATGCTGCCTATTATCAGGCGTTGTAGAAACATCGCTAGCTAATGTTAAGGCAAACATGACGTCATACCAACAAGCAGCAGCCGTGATGGAAGAACTTGCAACACGTGGACCATTAGCAGCAAGTAGCAAGCCACAAATAATTAATAATCAATTTTATGGAACGAATGATGATGACTCATCAATTCAAGTTGATGAAAATATTAAGCAAGAATTATTAAATGATGCTGTCATGGTCTCATCACCCTCATATGCTGACAGAATCAGTTCTCCATTATATTATCCAACAAAATCAACTAGTCAACAAAGTTTTGTAACAGAATTGCCAACATTCATTCAATCCTCATCAACATATTTCACGTCAGACGACGAATTAAACGACCATAACGATTTAGTTTCATTTAGTAAAGTTCCATATGATCACAGCGGTATATCACATACATCAGCTGAGGCTGACGTTTATTCGACAGAAGATGGTGATGATAATAATATAATTAATCCGTATCCAATTCCAACATCGTCAAATCACCTCATAACTGAAACGAGAACAACAGAAACATCCACACAGACACCGAAAACCACAAGTAAATTTTCAAAACCAATTTTCAAGCCAAAACCCACACAATCATCTTCAACAACAGAAAAGTACGTGCTTGTGCATACGATTACTAATGATAAGCCTCAGTTGAATGATAATGCCAATGAAAATGTATCAACGAAGAAGCCATCGACAACGAACGACTCAATCCAATCAATAATCTTAATGTTAAACGGTACAAATAGTTCCGGACCTGAATATGATGTTGATTCTAGTAATGTAAATAACGAAAATACACAAGCAACGTCAACTTATGGAAGTACGAGTATGATTGACTATGATAAATATGGAAGCTCAAGTTTCTATGTTACGACAAAAATGCCAGAACGAATTACATCAGTCAAAGTACCGTCAACAAGCTACATCTATTCGCCAAATCCAACACGTCGTCCAACAACCAGCACAACAAGAAAGTCAACAGAGAAATCAAAAACGACAACGACGAGAAGTGTAAGTAAGAAGACATCAACAAAGAAACCGCCAACAACAATAAATGTTCCATCGACTAGCTACATTTATTCACCGAATCCAATTACAAAACGACCAGCTGCATCATCGACAGCTCAACCAATTAGCGATGATCCAATTGCATCAACTACAGCTAATAAGAAAAAGACATCACCAAAACCGATTCTTGTAGTCAGCACTCAGCAACACGAACAAATTCAACAACATCATCAACAAGAAGATATTCAGACAAATTATGTGGTGATATCAGGTGGAGGAATTACGAAACATCCATCACCAACAGTTCACATTACACCAAAACCTATAACTAATATATTAACGTCAAGTACAGCAACTCAATTAAAACAAACAAAACCACCAAATGAATTGACAGGTGAACAGTCATCAAGTGAACGTCCACAATCACCATTTTATGGAAGTACTACACCAACAACATTTGTATCGTCATCAATTTATGTACCTGGAATTGAAGATTTCCATAATGAAGGATATTATGCAGTTGTAACACAACGTCCAGGTGTCTTATCAACAGCAATTTATGCTGTCAGTCCGGGTCTTATAAATACATCAGGTGGAGAGCCTGAAAATGATACGCCTATAATGAACAATGATGATTTCAGTAATTTCCCACCGGTTCGTAATCCAAACTTGAATATGACAGCTACAAATAATGTACAGGAAAGTGATATATCGACTCCATCATTTATTGAAGATTCACAGCTTAACAATAAGATTGATTTGCTTGTCAATAAATTAATTGAATCTATGCAAGGCAACTTGGATAATCTAGTAGATATTGTCTATGATAAGAAGAATGTCTCATCAGTCAATCTCGATAATAAGAAGAAGAATACGACACTTGCAGATGCGCCACCAACAAAAGTGCCTAAAACGACTGTTAAACAAACAGCTCCAACCAAACCACCTGCGAAGACAACGACAGCCCCTCCGGGGAGGCCTAGTTCACAGCAACAAACATCGAAGAAACCCCCAGCAAAGACATCCACAGCAGCAACCACAAAAAAGCCAATCACAACAAAAAAGCCCGCAACGCAAAAACCAAACGCACAGACCACGTCCAAAAAGCCACCAAATCGAGTAACTTCAGCAAGTACGACGAAAAAACCAACGAAAAAAGCTACAACGACTACAACGACTACAGAAGCGCCACTAGCACAAGATGAATATTTAGAAGGTGAAGAAGCGCCAGTTGAGGAAGAAGGAGGACAAGAGGAAACTGTAGAGGAAGGTGATGAAACCAATGTTGTTGATGAAACAGATGTAGAACAGCCAGCAGCTACCCCAAGTGGAAAAATTCGTGAGTATTAAAAGCAGTTGAATTTTTAAAAATTTAACGGCATTACAAAATTTGAATTTTTAAGCCTTGAATTTTAAAAATGAAACATTTGCATAAATTTTGGTAACATGTTCCACTGTGTATCCTAAAATTTGTCCAAATGTCTCTATTGTCGCCCTCATTTACGTGAGGAGCATAAGTAAAAATTAATTAAAAACGCATGCATACAAAATTTAATTTAGAATGCGGAGTAAGGCCACAATATAAGAAAGGAAGAATCGTGGGTGGCACAGCAGCAGCATTCGGTGAATTCCCCTGGCAAGTTCTCGTACGTGAGAGCACATGGTTGGGTCTTTTTACAAAAAATAAGTGCGGTGGTGTTCTAATTTCCAACTCCTATGTTCTCACAGCAGGTATGAACTGAAAATGCTTGTTACATTTTCATAGGAAAAACTTTTCATTTTTTTCTTCTATTTTTATATCTCCATAGCTCATTGTCAACCCGGTTTTCTTGCGTCCTTGGTAGCTGTGTTTGGTGAACACGATATCTCCGGTGAATTAGAGACAAAACGCTCGGTGACGAAAAATGTTAAAAGGTCAGTTTTGATCGATTGATTGCGGTGGCATTGAAACTCAATCCTTTTTCTGATTTTTTGATTGCATGACTTTAACATTCTTCTTCATTGAATTGATTTCTTTTTAATTCATATGAATGAATTGATGACAAGAAGTAGAACATAATATTAATCAGATGATTTACGTAAATCTGATCTGAACTTTTTGTCATCGATACACAGATTGTCACTGGAATGGAGGCTATGAAACATTATATGTAGATTTCATTACATTCTCAATTGAATTTTGAGATCTATGGAATCTAATGATATATATTTTTGGTTCTTAAGCATTGATTTGTTATTGCTTAGATGACATGATTTCATAAATATTATAGTGATTTTAATTCAGTTAACCTTGTCAGTCAATCCTAAAATACACAGAAAATATTGATTCCTTACATTTCTCACGAAGTCATCATATCCTTAACATCGCAAAAAGCTCAACCCAACAAAAAATCAGAAAATAGCCTTGCATCCTTAAGATATAGATAGCTCCTCATTTTAACACATTTCTTTTTACTTCTTGCTCTATTTGCTACCCAACAGAGTCATCGTTCACCGTCAATATGATGCGGCAACTTTTGAGAATGATTTAGCAATTTTGGAGCTGGAATCGCCAGTGCGATATGATTCACATATAGGTATGAAATTGAATGATTGATGATGATAAGAAAATTTTTTATTTTTATACGCAAATTTTTTGGTAAGTCTTCTTTTGTGTGGATATTGCATCATTGTATGCAAAAAATACTCGATACTTAGTATGATCCAAAAATACACAATTTATGTACACACGTTTGGATATTTAAGATTCACATTTACAAGAGCTACAAAAAGGTTTCAATCTATATTAAACATACTTTTAATATTGAATCGATTCCAACATATACAGTCATCAATTCCCTCAAATGTTCACGTACGAGCATGTAGGTGTATGATGTGAGGATTAAATTTAATATCGCACTTCATTCAATCTACATATCCGAGTGAAATGCATAGCATATAAACATTTTACGATGAATGGAATTATTTAATTCTGCTCTGCGTTTTCATTTCCGCTTTAGAAAGGGATGGAATTTAAGGTCTCGGAAGGAATGTAATATGTTGCTTAATATTTTTTTATAGACATTGAGGTTAAGTTTTAAGCTTGATTTAGACTTTTTTTTGAAATTTGAGATTTAATCAAAAAGATTCACTTTTGTATACTAGCATCTTTAAAGCTTTAATTTGCTAAGTCTTACAATACTAAATCCAACAATCAAGTCTATTTAGATAAACCCTTAAAATCTCCCAAAACCAACTTCAAGTCATGAAAACTCTTTTCTTAAATTTTATCACATCCTAAATTCATATTCACATGACGTCATACAATTTTCTACAGTAACAATACCTGAGCTCAACCGTAGACAAACTTTTTTGTTCACAAATCGACCCGATAAATCCACTGAAGTTTACTAAAACAAAATTTTTAGATGAGAAAATTTTAACAAATTTTCTCTTAACCATAAAAGTTGCTTTAAGCTCGTTTATTAAACTTTTCATAAGTTCTTCTTATTGGAAACAAGAAACAGGTGGAATATAGAATGTTTGAAAGATATTGATGAAGTTTAGGGATAGACACTAGTGGGTCGTTCACTTATGACGTCCATCAAAAAACCTGATTTTTCTAAAATCCTAGACCCCCTCCCCCCTAAATGTCGGACGTCATAAGTAAACGGCCCCTAGTTAAGTTTGAAGAAGAAATGAATTTTGGCACCAAAATTTTGAATTTAGATTGTTTTGTTAACAAAAGTTGAATAATCCTTTTAAAAAATAAATCTAGTGTCTAAAACTCGATTATAATCTTCCCTAAACTTATTTTCCCACCTTCTCTATTTCCAACATCAACCAACATCATAAATATCCTTAAATGAACAATAAACATTTCATCTGGTGCAGTAAACATAAGAACAAAAATAACTTTTATAATCATTGACTCTATTACGATATTATCATCATACATAAATATATAAACTAAAGTTCAACACAATTTTCATTACTCCACTATCTACGTCGTCTATAAACAGCAGAAACAACGATGATATTAAATTGTTGTGTTTTCAAGTTATGATTTTCAATTTAAAACGTAAATTTTCCTTCCTTGTCGTTCGTGTTTCAATTTTCTTTCCTCGTACTGTACGTATTTTACGGTTTTGTTCATTCATATGTTGAATTATTGCTCTTGTTTTATGCATACAAATAAAAATACAATAATCGTGGTTGTCTATTTGGAATGGATTGTGATCAAAGCGCATGTTATGGGGATGGTGTCAAGGAAATAGTAGCTTTGGCCCAGAATCGAGTGCAATTCAAATGCTTTGTGGACGCCATACGCTTCATAGTGAAGCAATAGGAACCCATCATCATCAGATGAATACTGTTCAGAATAGATATATGGTTTAAGATGTTATTCTGTCAAACTTTTCAATATCCAGCGATAGGCTAACTAGTAAGAGCATTAGACAAGATTCCACAAGCGACAAGAGTTCGATTCCCACTGAAAATAAGCTACCATAAGACAGATCTTGCTTTATCGAACCTTTACTTTAAACTTCTACTGTCTCATTCTGAAGATCAATCCCGAATAGCACAAGTCGGTTAATTGAATAATTAATTGATCGATTAACCGATTTGTGCCATTCGGAAATGCATCTCCGGAACAAAGAATCAATCCCTGTTACCGATGATGCAGTCTCTGAGTCCAAAGATTACCCAAATTAATCTATTTTGATTGTAAAACTTGTCAATTTTTCGACAGCAACACACTCCCACAAAATAAAAGTGTTGCATATCAACGAAGATAATGCCAAGTCTTATGGTATTCAAAATAGAACAGAAACAGAAACGACACGCTTTGAATATGAAAATGCTTCTCATTTCATTTCATTCCATTTTCTCCTTTCGTTTTACGTCATAAAAATTGGGGATTTAAGTTTCTTTTATTTTTTCTAAATATTTCAGTACCCGTTTGTATGCCACCTGATGGAACTGACTATACTGGTAAAGTTGCAACGGGTAAGTTTGGAGAAATTTATAGTAAAAAAAAGTTCTCATTATAAAAAAAATTCAATGAAAAATTGCAGTTAGTGGATGGGGGCGTTTAAAGTATGGCGGAGGTGTACCTAGCGTACTACAGGAAGTTCAAGTAAGTAGGATTGCACATGATACAACGAGATAAAACAATATTTTTATTTTTCTACATAACAACAAGACGAGAAAAATAATTTTTATAGTCATGGCAAGATCATAAAGAGAAACAAAAACTGCAGTTAAACAGACATAAAGTCTCACTTGTGTATGCTCTAGGATAATGTAGATGTGTACGAGCATTAAAAACTTTAAGTTTTTTTTTTTTTATAAAACTTGTATAAAGCCTTTCTTAAAGCAAGAAACGTGTAAGGGCTATTTTTGTAGGAAGCAATTTTTATTCTTCTTTCTTCATTCTTTCTTATGTGAGTTGATTACGTCACAGTTTTGTGCTTCCTTCTTTTTCTGTGTGGTACGTTTTTAATGTGTGAAGCTTATTTTATTCGGAAAGCATAAAATTTTAGCTTCTGTGTTTCTATGTCCTCTGGGAGGTATTTTTTACTAAGCTTTACAGTTTTACTTGTGAACATGTAGTCAGGGAGACATTAAGGATCAATTAAAAATCACTTTTTGCGATATACAAGCTTACAATCGAATCGACAATTGATTATTAATTTAAATGTCAACTGCGCTTAGTCCAAAACTTACATCAGAACCTCGCACATACCTCTAAGAATTTAACCCAACCTTGTTATTCTATCCAGATAGAAAAGAAAAAGCTTTTTGCGTCATATTTTAACACATCTCTAGCTTCATTTTATATACAATATTTTCTCATTCGTGTCTTCCTTATAAAAAAAGGTTCCCATAATTGAGAATACAGTATGCCAAGATATGTTTGAGCATGCAGGCCATAAGAAGAAAATTTTGTCATCATTTTTATGTGCGGGATATGCAAATGGACAAAAGGACAGTTGTGAAGTGAGTAAAACTTATTTTTTACAGCGATTCCTTTAATTTAATGTTAATTATATTACTAATTTATTCTTTTTTGTTCTCTATTGTCCACAGGGGTAACTTTGCTTTCTTCTCTACACAATTTTTTGCAACTATGGTAAAATCGAATTGCTTAACAAAAAAAAATATTCTTCTTCCTCCACAGTGATTCCGGCGGTCCACTTGTAATGACACGCCCTGATGGACGTTATCAACTCATTGGAACAGTGTCGCATGGTATTAAGTGTGCAGCACCATTCCTTCCTGGTGTCTATATGAGAACGAACTTCTATAAGCCATGGATTAAGAGCATAACGGGTTTAAAATAGAAGGCAAAAAAATTATAGATTAGCATAGAATCTCATTAAGGAACGGGGTTTGAATTTCAATCACAATGTACAAGCTCAATTTCATTCACAATTTTATGGTTCGTCAAATGATATTGAATGAATGAGCTCTGCTAATGGCAAAAAAAGAAGTCTTTTTTGCGTAGCAGAAAAAAAATCATATTTTAGCGTTAATGTATCACGATCAGGGGTACTTACTTAACTTTCTTTTTTATACTTTTATTTCTTATGCTCATTCTTGTGAGGATACTCGAGCATTTCATAATTGAAATTAGAGATATAATTTATTGTTAAACCGCTATTTATATAATCCCCTCGTAATCTATTAGAATAATAATCTCTCATGCTGACGCTTTCGATGCTGATGCAGCTTTTTCTACAATTCCCTTTCATTTTACATTCGGTATGAGCTGTGATTTTTGCAAAATGTTATTTACACAAATCCCTCTTTTAATATTATTTATTTATTTTTATTTATTTATTCAATAACTTTTTCATGTGTTATGAGAGAAGATTATTTATTATATAGCTTGGATAGATTATCTAGTATGACCGATGTTCACACATGTTTGCTCATTTTTGATGTTCTGTGGATGTAAAATTGATTGAGTTGGTGGATTGATATGAGTTTTAAGTTTATTGGAGAGGTTCCGAGTACTTAATGCTTCTTCTGACTATGGTTCTGACGTTTACATTCATTATGGCACGTAAGACTTCCTTTGAATGACAAAATTTAAAGAAGGTTGCATTTAAGGACATAATATAGGAAGTTAAGAGTAGTCATGGGCTACAAGCGCTAGCTTGATTCTCAATAGATCAGAATAATTTTACATTAAGTCAGACCAGCCAGGAGTAATCGGAGGACAAATTTTTAAAAACGTTCTTGCATGATTTTTGACTTCCTGACTATGATTCATCAAATTTAAATTTTTATGGAGTTCTAAAATTGTTTTTTTACCATTGAATGATTGAGAGATCGGCCTCTGATGGGAATCGAACTCACGTTCTCACAAAAGAGGGTTTCATATATTCGTTATGTTACCTAATCACTCGCACTACAGAGCCTAATTCTTTAACTCACAGTTTTGCCTATATATGGCTAGAAACCCCAGATTCTACTATGCTTGAACACCATATTACTTAACTGCAGCTTCCAGATCATAAATTTAATAATTAAAATTTACAACGGATCATAAATTTATTAAAATCTCATAAACCAGTTTCAAAATTCAATTTCCCATCAATGCATCCAATTGCACATCCATAAATGCATTTTATTGTTCAAATCTGAGCGACTATGTGTGATAAAAACCATAAAAAAAACTTCCTATGCATCATATGAAATATAGAGAATATACAAAAAGATATATTGAATATTAGACAAATTTATCAATGTTGTTGTTATTTCTTGTTATATTGAAAAATGAATGAAGACAGTTTTATTTATTTAATATTATATTTTGTTGCTAGCATAAAGAGAAATCATAAAGGAATGCTCAATTTTATTTAAATAATAATCATAATATTATCATGAATGAATGGTGCTAAGATATGCTGAATGTTTGTGCGGAGGGTGTCAGAGGTGTAGCAAGGGATTGATGCTTGGCATAATTTGTAGCTCAATTACATCGATTGCCATGGCAGGAGCCTAGCATTTCTTTTGGATGTTCTAACTCTTATGTGAAATTAAAGGCTACTTCGTGTGAGGCATACATGGCTGCATCCCCATCCATCACTCTTTAACTACATACTACCCGTTTATACACCATTAGTAGCTACAAAAGGTAGTCAGCATGAACATTTTGTTATAGAATATGACTAGAATTACAAACAGAAAAGCTTCCAAAAGGCGAGCTTTTCTCCTTTTTCAAATTCTCTTTTCTTTTGTGCTATGTATATATTCACAACATAATTTATTTTTCACACATAGGAAAATTCTTTCTTCGTTATACATGAAAAACGAAACAATTTTTATTTAGAAAAAAAAAGAGAGGAACGAATTATAAAATTAATTGAAAATAATTTATTTATTTAATTAAATTAATTTATTTTTATGTCATGATGATGATGAAGATTTATTTAGTTGTAAAACAAATAAAAATAGAAAAATTTGCAAAAAAAATCCTATTTTTTTTTTTTAATTTAATATGTGAATCATTTTTATGTTTTCCTTTCAGTTTTAATTATTATTGAGTTTAATTGAAATTGAAATATGCTGAAGCTCAACATGTGTACGTAGGATGGATGTTTGATATGATTGCGTACCTAAATATGTTGAATGAAATCAAGAGCAATAAAGCCCGAATGGCACAAGTCGGTTAATCGATCAGAAATCCGGCAAAAAGCTGGTGCGACTCTGGGATCGTGCTGGATTTAAATTGAAGCCAGCACCATTCAGAGTCATGCTAGCTTGGATTTCTATTCAATTAACCGACTTGTGTTTTTCAGGAAAATTCATTCATCAAAAATTGGCTTAAGGTATCAAGGCATGTAAAGACAAATCTGCCAGTGTGAGAGCTAGGCATCTGTGTCGCGATTAATTAGGAAACCGAAAAGATACCTGTAGCCTTCTTTTGTGAGGACGTGGGTTCGATTCCCATCAGATACCGACCTCTTAATTATTATACAGAGTATTTTCGATATGTCTAGGATTCGCACAATGCTAACGACATAACCCTGATGAGTTAAAGGGAATTCCGTCGCATAATTGCAAACAATATTCTGGAATTACCACAAAAATAAAACAATTTTCATTTTGCTGCATTGCTGAATTAAATTTTCCATTAGAATTTCCCACCATTAATTTAAAACAAAACTAAAATATGAAAATTTTCTGGAAACCACAATGACATCATCAGCAGCCTGCAAAATTTCCAAATCGCATGAATTTTTTAAGTTCGAAAAAGATTGGTTATCAAGTAAATTTCAAGTGAATGTTACACTATATTCATTGTAATTAACACTTTTGTGTGGGCTTGACACGAACTTTATGATTTATGCCATTGGGAATTTCCACGAAAAATTAAATGACAGTTAAATACAACTTCGTGCATTAAAAGTTGTTAATGAGCGTACGATGTGGTTCGCCAATGATGTTTGAGTTGAAAATTTTAGGATTTAAATGATGAAGAGTCACAGTTCGCGACTTGGATGCTTCTTAACATTGAAGTTATAATTTATGCAAGCCTACACGACGTGTTGAGTGTCTTACGGCTCATCGGATCTCCTTCAACATCTGCACGAGATTAAAATATTTTATTTTATTTTGCAAAGTAATTTTAAAATCCAAAGAGGATTTCATCTATTTGCAGTAAAGATGAATTACAACCCAAAAGCTCCACAACATTTCTAAAAATAAAAGCTTTTTTTTGCCTCGCTCAAATTTTGCATCGCATATAAACATCATCACTGAATGTCATGGAGCATAAGGATTTAAATATTGTAAATGAAATCTTTCTCGTTTTATTAATATTTGCATAAAATCTTTTTTACAGCTTTATCTTCACTTTATTTGCTTTCAAGTTTTCTTATTTTTCTTAATTTGGTATGCCTTTCTGTGACTTGAAAATCTTGTTGGCATTTATTCACGCAAGGAAGTTTAATGTGCTTGAGAAAATTTATCTGCTTTATTAAATCTTTTCGCTAATTTTTTATGAACTTTGGATAAATATTTTGAAAAGATCTTTTGGTGAATTTTAAAAGTTTGGAATGCATTAATTGAGTTCTTGGAAAAATTCAAATCTTTCTTAAAAAGTCTTATTTAAATTGATCTTGTTTTAGTAAGTGGATTTTGTATCATTTTATTGAAATAATTTTCAACATTGTCTAGAAGAATTTTTTTTCGGTTTTAGAATGCAAATTGATTATTTGAACAATCTAATCTTGTTAAAACTTGACTGTAATACTTGAAAAGTTTTAAATTTGATATTTACTAGATTAAAGCAAAGTTTTTTACAAATTATTCTGTGTGACAAACAAAATTTAATCTTTACAATTTCTGGTTGAAAATTTTTCAACTTAACATTTGAAATTCTATATAATGCTTGGTTTGATTCTAGCTGAAACTATCGATCGGTTCTGTTCTTTAATGTAATCGATCCATAATCGATAATGCAGATCATTTTTATTCATTTTTGAATAATTTTTGTGCTTTTACATTACTTCTGTTCATTTTGAATCAATTATAAATCATTTTTGAATCGTTTTCGATAGTTTCGTTAATCAGTTTTGTTTATTGTGAATCGTTTTTTATTTATTTTGAATCATTTCTGAATCATTTTTAATTACTTTCAATTATTTTCGATTTGAATAAAGTTCTATTTTAGAGTAATTGCTTTGAATTGTTTTATATTTCAAAAAAACCTGTTTCAATAATCGCTTAACTGTCAAATGACTTTTCAAGATCAATCAATCTCTTCACTAAGATTATAAGAAGTGTTCTGAACTAAAGGCAAACAATCCAACTTTAAATTTATAATTTATAACCTTCAAAAAAACTATTCAATTCACTCTCATTCATTTTCTATCTCATTACAAAGCCTAATTATTTTTCATACTTAATAAATTCCCCTTGAAAAAAATTAGCATAAAAACAGTTCATACAAAGATAGTTACGATCCATTATGAATCTATTAGAAACGTTCAACACGTAGCATAAAAAAACTTGAACTTTTTCTACTTATTCATACAAGCGAAAAAGAAAATCACAAAAACTTTATATATGATTTCGACGCTGCTGTTCTCTTTCCTAACCAAAGCCAATTTGTGTTTGGGCAAAGAGAATAAAAAATAAAATACAATTGGGAAGAAAAAATCCGTTCAGATTTCTTTCTTAATTCCCATTTGTTGTTATCATATATTGGTCATCAGACATTATTAAAGTAAAATTCTTATACAAAAGGGTTCCGATGTCAAGAATAAGCTTTCGTAACTTGTTGTTGGTCGATGAATTAAACTTTATGAATAAAAATTTCGCGCCTGCG